GAAATTGAAATTTAAAGCTTGGTTTAAGAAAACATGAAATTTACTTTCTTTGACGGTTTGAGTTTTAATTTATAGAACAATTTTTGTTGTTCTTATTTCATTCATTCAGCGTATTGTCACTTTCAGAAATTACTAAGAATTAACAATGTTTATGTTGGCAAATTTTGTAATGTGTGTATAATTGGTATTCCATAACAATGCAAACTTCACACTCTGACATGAGAATATTGTTTATATAATAGGTATTATGGAAAATGAGAAACAATTTTTAAAGACTGCTGGCTTTGATTTTGTCACAGATTTTTATGAAAAAAATCATAATCATTTTTTTATCCACTTTCAGGGAACATATGATACTAATATCCCAGTGTCAACATCACGTAAACATTTAAGAATGAAGAAATGGGGATTTGAACTAGCTCTCTCAGGTGAAAGTAGAATTACACTGCAATTTTTTAAAAAGCTTCTTAATTTGGGAACATGGGTTTCATGTTAAGAAATGATAATGATTAATGCATTAATGCATTAATAAAAGCTGTTTCCTTTTGTAATTATTTCTTCTTTATAAATGCTTACATTGTTACCTAACTTACTATTTTTGTACCATGAAACTTATTTGACTAAACTAATTTGAAACTTCATGGAACACTGAGAGACCTGCAAGTAATAATTAGAAGTTCAATAAAATATCAACAATGTGCATAAATATAATGGATTTTAACTTGACCTCTGGATCATATTCCATATTCTAAAGAAGAAAGCATTGCATGAAATATTTTTATTTTATTATGAGTCTTTAAAATTACTCAATATAATTGAATTTCGATCAACATAATAGAATTTGTTTTTGCTGCGTAGAGTAGAGATTTTACTTCTTGCCATTAAATGCTAGAGAAAATATTTGGCAAAATAATATGAAATTATTTTAGATTTTATGTTAATGAATCAAATTCTACTGTGCAACTTTTTATTTTTATTTTTATGTGTGTCAAGTTTCCAAAAAACAATGTTAATGTAAGTGTTTTCACATTTTTGCACTCTAAAAAAAAATTAATGTAACAATATCTAGATTCAAATTTACAATTAAAAGGTACGGGTATACAAGGCAAAACTCTCCAAACAAACACAGGGTTTATGCTATGAATTCCATTGTTAAATTAAATATTTTTTGTAGTAACTGAGGCGCAAAAATATATGGGTTGTGGAAACACTTGCCGAAGTTCCGAGAGTCAGTCATGAATTACAAAGATTTTGTGGTTCAGGGTACCATGTAAACAAGAGGTCCACCTGAAACAGCAGTGGTTTAGGGCCCCACGAAAGTTGACACCTGGCGTCAAAGGTGCGTCAACCACAAAAATAGCTACGCCAAATTTTTCAATTGATTCTGGAAGGAAGAACCGTATTTCAATGTGCGTTTCATTCCTTTTTTCAGTTCCGTGTATATATGTATGTGTGTGTGTGTGTGTATAAATATAGGTGTCACGTAAATTTACCACCTTTAATTTTTGAACGGTAGAAGTTATTTCAATGCAGTTTTCACGGACGTGCATGAGAGAATGGGCCTAATTGATATGTGTATTCATTGCTGTCTTATCAATTTATTTTACGAGATATTTGAGGTGACTATTTTTTTAAATGGAACTATAATATTTTGTCCAATGTTAGATAAGCATTTTTTAAGTAATTTTGCAACTAGTGTTTAATGGATATATTAAATGTAACAGTCCGCTACACAAGCGCGAGCGGGGTGTACTTTACATGAAGATCCTAGGAAATTTTCATAAAAATGGTGTCATTGTTTTTGATGAAATTTTGTTGGTGGATAGTCTGAAAGACGTTTAAGAAAATGGTGCAGGTTTTATGTTGGTTTGAAAACCCTGATTATTCGAGAATTGAAAATATTCAATATTTTTCCGCGTTTTCTTACAACTACAATTACGAAGATGCTCTTTTTCCATAATGAAATGTGTTTATCCAAAAGAGATTTTCAGAAAATGTCATGTTGATTTTTTCGAAAATGAGTATTTTAGTAATTGGACGTCAAAATTAGTAGCTTGCTCTCAAATTCCTGCGTTCTTTATCTGAATTTTAGAAATGTTTGAGGCAGTTGGATTTTACGTAAGTTGATATTTGCACATTGTTTCACATTTAATATTTCTTTGTGCGTTTCTTACATTGGAGGTTTAGTTATACGTTTACAAATTAATCTTTTAGAAATGATTTAAAACTTATTTTGAAATAAATATGAAACAAAGATTATTGCCTTCAGCTGCCCGCTCCCAATTTACGCAGTTACATGCTAAGTTAGAATTAGTATATTCATATTTCATTTTATTATTATATATGTTATTTCATTTTAAATTGCGACATTTAATTGTGTTATATTTAAAAACGAAGCCACGAGCTGTCATTGCTGTTGTTTACCGAAAAAAGAACTGTTGGAGTACACCAGATCTATGATACTCTAACAAGTAAACTTGTTACAGTATCATGGTTTTGGTGTATTCCAACGTTTTTCTCGGTGTACCCATTGCATTGCCGCACAGCAATGACGGCTGCTGTTCGTTCCTGGTATTGAAAATGAATACTTTTATATCTTGTGACCGACCCCTCGTGCCTCTGTGTATTAGGATAATTTATTACATCTCTTATGTATATTCCTGAGACCCTAACTCTGTTTAACAAATTTTAAATAATACAGGGTGGTGCAGAGAAACGGGAAAATTTGAAAAAAATATAAAAAAATGAAGGAAGCTTACAAATCTTTATTTTATGCTAATAATATGTTTTACAAGAATGGAAATTTACTTAGTCATCACTTTTTGAAAAGTGCATCATTTAGGTGCTGTCCACTTCGCCGTCAATTCAATCAGTCGATGAGGACGATTTTGCACAGCCCGGCGCAATGTGTCCTCCGGGATGTTAGCGACGTTTTCTTCAATCTGAGTCTTCGGCTGGGTAAGATTTGTTGGTCTAGTCTGATACACAACGCTCTTCAGATGTCCCCATAAAAAGTAGTCACAAACTGAGAGGTCTGGAGACCGCGGCGGGCAAGCGATGTTAGCATTCTTTGAAATAATCCTATCCCCAAACAAACGTCTTACTGCTGCCGTAAACTGCCGTGCAGTGTGTGAGGTGACTCCATCCTGTTGAAACCAGGTGTGCTGAATGTCAAGATTTGGAAGAGAATGAAGCCTTGGGGCCAAAAATGTCTCTAGCATGTTGACATAACGTTGAGACGTCACAGTGACAGCGGAACCCTCTTCGTCTTCAAAAAAGTAACGGCCTATCACCCCACGACACCACAGCACACCATACAGTAACTCTGTCACTGTGTAATGGTCGCTGGTGAAGCTGAGCAGGATTTGTTTGTGCGCAGTAACGCTTGTTCAGCTTATTGACGTATCCACTTAAATGAAAATGGGCTTCATCATTTTCAATATTTTCAATAAAGTTTGCATCTCATTGATTTTAGCCGACAGTTTTTCACAAAATTGTTGGTGCAATACAGAATCATTAGGTTTAAGTTCTTTAACAATCTGAAGCTTGTAAGCATGAAATTTAAGGGCGCGGAGCCAACATCAACTTCAAATTTTCCCGTTTTTCTGCGCCAGCCTGTATTTTCGGCCCGAGCGGTGTCGCAACCGGAAAAATTATATTGGGTCTGAAGTTCCCTCTTGTACAATATAGGAAAAAAGGTTAGTCCCATTATCTTGTTGGTGATGGGAGGGGAAATTATTTTAATCTACGAACCAAGAAAAGACTCAGACATTATTTAAATGTACATTCAGTACCGTGCTCTGTATTACTGCTGTGTATTCGTCGGCGTTAATCATCGCCGTCGCCACTTTCCTCTGTGACGCTACCGATAAAACCACTACCCCAAAACATCAAAAACAAACCTTCTACACAGTAACAAAAGAATCTAAATCTAACATTCACATTTAATGACAAAAATATTTACACTATTCTCATTCATACTGTGCACATTCTAATTTGGACGGTCATGGACATTGTTTCGAGCTTTACGACAATTACAATAATTACTTTACTTGGCCTTCTTATAAATGTCTTGCATACGCGCGGGTAATGTCTGCGTAATGTTCACTCCTCTGAACGTCATAGTGTTGCCGTCGCCTCGCGAAACCGTCCCACCATTTCACCATCAGCTGGGCTCAGCCGTCCATATTTCCACACATCCTATTAAATGCCGTATTTCTGGCTCCCAATACACGTTCACTCTGATAACAGTTCACTCTCCCAAAAACACAATAACTTCCCGGCACATGCTAGCACATGTCGGTTCGGAATGTATCATCCGTGTCCCTTTTTACCTAGTCCAGTCTTTCGATTGTTTTCCAACAATAAAAAAACGCTCACTTTCCTCTGTCACTGAGAACTTCTTGGAACATTTTATATTTTCGTTACCTCTATTCCCATTTGGAACTTTTAAGAGGTTCTGAAAATTTTGCCTTTTAATTTGCCGCGTTCACCAAAGTTCATTGCCCCGCAAAACATCGAAATTACCGAAAAATGCTTTTCTAACATATAACTACTATGTTTATCCCAGGATTCGTCGTTTTATACTCTTCAAGATATGCTAAAAAATATGTATAGTTTTATTTGAAAAAAAGCAAAGTTACCTCAATACCTCGTAAAATACAAGTGGTAAAATAAAACCAATTTGTGAATCAATTAGCACCATTCCCTCATGAATTTTCGTGAATCGTGCATTACAATAACGTGTGGGCGTGCGTGCGTGGCTTCATTGTTGCTGAGCATTACCGTGTGACGCATGCCGAGGCCGACAGACACGGAGAGGCGGAGAAAGGGAGGGACAGATAGGCACAGAGACATACTTTAACAGGGACAGAGAGATAGAGATAGAAAGAGATAAAGAAAGCGCCGGAGCGTGAAAGAGGGAGGGAGATGAAGGGCAGACCATTTGCCGGGTTCTCTAGTAATTTGTAAAAGGTATTAATTACGATGTTTATTTTTAGATTGATCACCGAGGAGCAGAAGATGTATTAGAAAAAGCATATCATGATATGGTGAACAGATTAGGAAATACTAATATCAGGTAAGCTAATTTCGTTTTGATGAATAATGCCAACTTTTGAAACATAAATCCAACTTTTGAAAAACTTACATAAAGTCAACTCTTTTCTTAAAAAAATATTTTCTCTTTGGATCATAATGTAATTTGTTTTGCAAAAATTCTTTGAAGATTCTTGGTGAAAAAATAAACTAAAGACTTCAATAGGTTTAATTTTCACAAAAAAAACGTGAAGTTTTAAAGTTTCAAAATATTAATATACATATAAATGTATAAGGAAATACTAATATCAGGTAAGCTAATTTCGTTTTGATGAATAATGCCAACTTTTGAAACATAAATCCAACTTTTGAAAAACTTACATAAAGTCAACTCTTTTCTTAAAAAAATATTTTCTCTTTGGATCATAATGTCATTTGTTTTGCAAAAATTCTTTGAAGATTCTTGGTGAAAAAATAAACTAAAGACTTCACGTTTTTTTTGTGAAAATTAAACCTATTGAAGTTTTAAAGTTTCAAAATATTAATATACATATAAATGTTTTAATTCTAATTTATGTTTATTATTAAGTTCTAAATGGATGTTAGTTAAGGCATAAAACTGAGCGTGAGTTTGAATATTGCTTTATTTTTAACACAAAATCATTATAAAGATATATTGTTTATTTAATTGCAAATGTTTTTTTAAATATTATTTGTTAAAACACAGTGCGACATTGCATTGGAACATTTGAGTCTTGTGTAGGTTTTTATGGCATCTTGATTTTTAATTGTAAGTGCCCTGGTCAATATCCCAAATGGTCACAAACACATCAGCAGCCAGATGATTTGACTTAGGCTTTCTTATATTTAATTCTGCCCGTATGGTATAAAAGACACCAGAAATTTGAATTAATACAATAAAACGTTTAATGAAAACACTGTGTGTTAAATTCCGTGAATTCGTACATGCTAATAAGTCATTAACTCCAAATGGCATCATCAAAAATTCTGAATTTTTAAATTTTGCAAAAGTTGATTTGTAACTTTTGCATGAGAGTGTGTGCTCTTGTTGCTCCACCAGTTTGTTAAAGCATCGAGGTTGTTTTTTTGGCAAACCTGGTGTTGTTGGGGTAACTCTGATGCATAACTCTGACATGCTAACTCTGATGTTGTGTTTGAAACCCAGGCAAAGAAAAATGTTTTGCTAGTTGAAAACACTTTAAAATATTCATGTATTATATATTTCTCATTTTGGGTCAATTGTCCGACTTTGCCAGCAAGGTAGTGGTTTATTTCCCAATGCTTGGGGATAAGAGAGAAATGTGGCATACATGAAATACTTCCTTCACCGCAACTAGCAAACTCCGCCTGCCTGAGTTTTTCATCACACTGCTATGAGATGAGTTAAAAGAAAAAACTACTGTCATGATTTGATAAGGGAACTCGTGGGACAGATTTTTCAAGTGAAGTACACAGAAAAATGTGTATAACAATCTTTATTTCAATAACTTCAATTTTTAAGAGGTTTTATTTGAGGCGCTAATATTTCTTTGCCACTGAAAAAATACCAAATCAGTTGAATTAACAATTGTATAAGTGTGCTCTTAAGTGCATATCCTTTATAAGTAATATTTACAAATGGGAGAAGGGATGACCTCTACGTACTCTGAAATGTTGCCGAAGTAGGTTAATATAAATTAAGAATTGAGAAATTTAAATAGTGAATGAACAACATTGAGATTTATATTGTTTATGCTGGACTACAGGTCAAGTATTACAATTTTGTCAGGAACGATGCCTCATTGGCACCCCTTTAAATATTAATAAAAAACAACTGTTTAGTGCATTTTATAAGATCATTAGGTGGCAGTATTATACAAGTATTACTGCTCTCTTCTTAACGACTGTATTGAGACAGGTCAAAATACTTATAGGGCATTTTGTAATAAAGCAAAATTATGTCGACGGAATAAAATAGGAAGTAAAGGAAAATACGAAGAAATATAAACAGAAATGAGATATTGGGGATATAAGGCGTCATTAAATAGCACGAAAGACAAGTTTGTATAAATATTTTAAATATTAGAAAAATATTTTTATAAATGTTATTTAATAAAAGCGATAGACAAGGTAATTCAGATAGCTTAGTTACGAGGAACAAACTATAGCATCGGATATCGGCAATAACAATTAAAACAGGTGATAAAAAGAAACAATTGGGTTGATAGATGAACATTTATCACAAGAATTCGTCTCAAAGTAATAGAGAGATAGTTCAGTCGATAAGTCATTATTTTTTTACAAAATATGAGGTAGATATTTTTTAAATTTTGTTTATATTATTATTAAGTAAACCTTAAATTCTCCACCTCGAAATTTTTCGGACGTAGTAGCCAAAAAAAAAACGAAAAAGTTCTGGCATTATTTCGTTTTTTGTATAATAACTTTTTAATGGTTTATCTTAGTGCAAAAATAGTTGTGTACAATTTTAAAGATAATAAAGTTATCTACAAATACGGTTTATAAATTATTTTTCTCAAGCAAATAGTAACAGAGCTACGAGATTTTAAAATTTCACCCAATTTTCCTGATGTTGCCTAAAATTACTAATGGTCTCTCCAATGTAGTATTTTTGAATTCCTAAAGTTAATTATAAATAACTTGTGGTGCTACAGAATGACATAGACTTTCCCTGTATTAGTTTTCTACTTATTTTGGTCTCGGCTAGCTACGCAGACTTGCTTGGAAAAATATATTCTTGCTTGCTGCCATATGTGGCCATCCAAGTACATTTTTTTTAAATTTTCTGTTTTCCTTGTAGTAGAGCGGAAATTTTATTTTAAGATTATTAAAGAACAGTAAAACCTCGCCCTAAATGGCAAGTTTCTTTAAAAAATTTCGAACCGTTTTTTAAACCGACGTTTAAGCGCTATTGTAAATTGGACATTTGAAGCACTTTTTCATAGAATTTTTTTTAGTTTTATAAAAACTTCATTTGAAGTCAATTTAATTACATTAACTCATAAATACAATAGTGTTTACAAATTGCTGTAAATGCACATATCAACGATAGGGAGATCTTTCAAAAAATTTACATTTGTGTAATTAAAAAAAACAAAGAATAGAGCAGTATGGCGACAATGTCTTCTTAGAGTGCAGTTAGCACTATCCTTAACAAAAGTTTAAAGACAAAAATTGGAGCTGTTTTTGAGAAAATTTTGTTTTTGTAATTTTTTAAATTGCACTTGATATTGCGCGAAAACTACGTACCCACCTTTAGTGTTGAATATTTCGATGTTGGGGATTAGTAGAAAATTTTTAAATTTAAGTATAAATTAGTCTTTAATTAGAACAAAATTATGGGATACAATTTTTCAATATTGTGATAAATGGGTTTCGCTAACTTTACGTACATGTTGCGAGGAGTGTTTTAGAGCCAAGACAGAAGAAATGGGCTTAAGAAGGACTCCTTGGAAAGATCCTCGCTTATTCTGATGTCTTCTGCTTGTGATTGCTTTATTATTAATTATTATTATTATTATTATTAGACGGCATGTACTGACCACATGCTACAAACGAAAAAAAATTTAAACCGGAGTTTGGTTGTTTAAAAATTCCCTTTTTTTTTTTCCCCAAGGAATTCCAAGCTTTTCAACTTGTATCCTTGGATACACAAGGTTTCTTACGCCTATAGTGTTAATTCTGAGATATGTGATGAGATGATGATATAGGTGAAGGGACAATCACAAAATATGACCATCGTCTACGCAAGGAAACTCGAACCTGCAGCTCCTTCGCACAGACGCGGCTGCGCAACCGTTTGCGCCACGGGGCTAAAGCTTTTATTATTATTATTATTATTATTATTATTATTATTATTATTATTGGCGTATAGGCCATTATCGTGTGTAATTTACTATTAACGTGTGTAATTTTCCAGGATCAGCTTTTAATTGTATCTCTCTCTTCAATAAGGTTGTTACACGTTGATGTGTGAATTATGAAATGATAGGATGATGATGAAGGGGCTACGCAGAACTCGAACCTGCAGCCATCTCGGCACAGACGACGGCTGCTGCAACAGTCAGCGTCACCGGGCCGACATTTTTATTATCATCATCTTTCAAGTCTCTTGCTTAGCGAGATGTCCTACAGCACACACAGGGCCCTTTGGAGATCCAAGATGCCTGCTTCACTTACAAACTCGGGCAGTCAGGATTCAACATGAAGTTACATAAATAAAAACTTCCTCGCGATGCGTGCAGTACTTGGGAGAATGGCCTTTTGCATTGATTGAATGTACTAGTTAAGGCTAAATGTCCCGACACTAGTACAATTTGTGGCCACCACGTGGCAGCACCAAAATAAAGTAAAATTTACTTTACCGATAACGGCTGAACCAATGGTTCTATTTTCGATCTGTAAACGGCATTTGACGCCTTTATTAAATAGAAGCTACGAAACCCGTTTTCCAAAAATTAGCTCAAATTTGAAACTAGTTCTCAAACTTCCGAGAAAAAGTTAAAAAAAATATGGGCTTATAGTGCGATGGCGACATGCTTTCTGAATCCAACGCCGTGACAATCATGTAAATTGGACGAATAGTAGCGTCGTAAAGGAAAACACCTCGCCCCTTCCCCTTCTGCGCCGTTGCGTCACCCACCCGTTTGTTGTGGGCCCTCTGTCGGCGCGGGGGCACGACCAGGCCAGGCGGCGTGTGGCCAGCCCCAGCGGAGGAGGCGAGACGTGCGGGATAGGCAAGCCAGACAGTGGGTTTCGGCTTTCGTCCCTTTGCATCTCAATCTATTTTTCCACTGATACCGAACTAGAGATGCTATACTACTATTACAGACCGAGGTAAACGGTCTGTAATAGTAGTACATAACTATCTTTTTCTCATATTTCCGACTTCCTTCGAATACACATGGAAATTGTTTGAGGTATTACTCAAAATATCGATTTCGATTTGGAACTTTTTTTTTAAATAACTGATTTTGTAAATTTCACCATTATTCCATCTCCTCACATCTTATTTTAGAAATA